GAGGCAATGGCGCCCAAATAAAGAGATTGAAGCTAAAGTAGAGGCCTATATAAGTGACAAACCAGGATTCCAGTACGTTATCCAAAAGGCAGAAGAACAGAACAATTTCAACAACCCGAATGGAGTACAATCCCGTACGAATACAGATCCACCTATGTCTTTCACTACAGTCTTCCAAGTCTCCCAAGGACTAAAGCCGAAAACCTCAGCCTATGAGCTCTCTAAAAGCATAATTCTCGACTCTGGAGCTACAATTCACGTCTGCAACGACCGTACGAGGTTCTACAATATCCAAGATGTCAAGATAATAGCTACCTCTTAGCTGGAGACCAAAGGGTGAAGATTGAAGCGTTTGGGTCTGTAGATATTACAGTCCAAAACGGGGAGGATAAGAAGTCTCTACGGACTATCACCCTTACAGATACAGCTCTCGTTTCATCCTTCCACACTTCAGTCGCTTCTCTTAGACGATTCATCCAAAAGGGAGTTCATTGGAATACCGCCGCACAAGGACTTACGTACGGAGATCAACCGTTCTGCAACACTCCAATGCTTCATGGACAATGGGTTCTTGAATACATCAAAAATGAGCCTACCCGAGCTGTTTATAGCACTCAGGATCAACAGGACAACATTGTCCTATCTTCGTACGGACCTCGTAAGGACCTAAAAGGCACTGCAAAGGAATGGCATAACCGCATGGGACACCTAAACCAAAACGCCATTAGAAAACTCCAAGAGAAGACCGCTGGAGTTATCGTCACAGACCTAGACTCGTACGATACTCAGTGCGAAGTATGCCAACTTACGCATGCTACAAGGCAGATTTCTAGAAGATCTACACCACGCTCAAAAGTGCCATATGAGAAGGTCCACCTTGACCTAATCCAAATGCCAGAGTCGTACGATGGCAGCACACAAGCCTTACACTTCCTATGTGATAATTGCCGCATGAACCACGTCTATACTATTAAGGATAAAACACAAGGAACGCTCCTACAGACGATTAAGGACTTTGTGAGCTACGTATGGAGAAGATGGGGGTTCCAAATCTGCATATTCCACCTAGATGGTGAAGCCTCACTTGGAAATGAATGGGAGGGTTGGATTAAGGACAAAGGATATGAAATCCACATCTCTCCACCCTATACAGCAGAGCCGAACGGAGGAATAGAGAGGTCAGGCCATACGATAATCACACGATCACGCGCACTTAAAGAATCAGCCAACTTACCAGAAGGAATGTGGCCTGAGATTTTCAAAACAGCAGGGTACCTCATAAACCGCTCACCATCGTCAGTCATAAACGATGAGACCCCGTACGGACTTCTACTCCAGTCCTTACCTACAGAGAGCCAAAAGCCAGAGCTACTTAAGCCATTACTCTCTCATATTCGCGCTTATGGCTGTAGAGCCTATGCCCTTATTCTAAACAAGCCAAAGCTTGAGAGGATACAGAGGAACGCCAAAATAGGCTACCTAGTTGGCTATAACTCTACAAACATATTCCGCATTTGGGTTCCGCAACTTAAAAGGGTTATAGTTACAAGAGACGTTACCTTTGATGAGACAAAGGCTTATGACCCTTCGTACGAGGCTCAGCTTGTCCAAACAGAGCTCGAAAAGACAGTTCAGGTCATTGAAATACCAGATATTCAAGATCAAGAAGATGAGGAGTTTGAGGGGGAACAACAGCCTCAGAACGGGACAACAATTCCGTACAAATCAGAGGCAACAAACACCTCCTCTCCTCAAGAAGAGCCGCCTACTCAGAAGGACCACGGAGCTACAGAGCTACAGGAACAACTTCAAACGCCTGAAATGACACCGGAACGCCCTGAGGACACCGTACGAAGACACGACGTCTACCTAGCTACAATAGCAATACCAGAAGCAAAGCTAAGCTTACACCAAGCTTTCCTAGTACGAACGGAGTTCAATCGACAGAGCATACACCGTACGGACCTACCAGCTGCTCCAAAGTTCTGGAATCAACTCCAAACTCATCCACATCGAATAGGATTCCAAGCTGCAGCTGCAAAGGAAATAGGAGACCTTCGAAAGCAAGGAACGTTCACATCTGTCAACGACAGCTCCGTACGGAACTTTGTGATACCCCTTATGTGGGTTTTCACATACAAATTCAATGACAATGGCTACCTTCTTAAATATAAGGCTAGACTTGTTGTAAGAGGCGACCTACAATGCTATTCTATCCATGATGAGACGTACGCAGCTACGCTTGCTTCGAAAACCTTCTGAGCCTTAATGGCAATCACAGCCTACTTTGATTTGGATACACAACAATTAGATGCTATAAACGCATTCACAAACAGCCGTATTGACGAGGAGGTCTACGTACGGTGTGCAGACGGCTACCAGGAGCAAGGAAAATGCTGGAAACTTAACAGGGCACTCTATGGACTTCGAAGGTCCCCCTTACTCTGGTTTCGAGACTTCTCAGAGACACTCAAGGCTCTAGGCCTCGTACAGGTCCCAGAAGCACAGTGCCTCTTTGTATCTTCAAATATTATTGTCTTCTTCTATGTTGACGATATTTGCATCCTTAGCCATCCTGTCATACTGACATTCGTTGCACTCAGTTTGCTATCAAACTCAAGAGCAAACTTGGAAATCTCCTCCTCAAACCTACAAGTCACTATACATATTTTGGCTTATCACACCAACAACAAGAGCAATACTACTCAACGATTGCTACAACCATCTATGATTCATTACACGTCATCGCTCCTTAGTTACTGGGCCGATATTACCACATAGCATATCTCTACAACCCTCTATGATTCATTACATGACATCACTCATACTACCACATGACATATCTCTACCAACTAGAGGCCTAGGAGCATGAACGATAGCTCTAAAAGCTCCTACGAACCTCTATGATTTATTACATGTCATCGCTCTTTAGTTACCCACAAGATTGGTTAAGTTATGACATAATTTGTCTATGACATAATTTGTCTATAGGGGTACTCTGACCTTGGACCTCCTTTTACTTCCTATAGGCTACGAACCTAAGAGATGGTTCTATGGGATTCTCTTATGTCGACTACAGTTACCAAGCCTGGTAATCATGGAAAGTCTTGGAAAATGAGAGAACTACACTCCTTTAGCATAAATAGGATTGCCCTTTCCTTAAGAAAGGGCAAGCAGACAATACAGTAAATCGACTATCACATACTTCCACGTCTTTTCCAAGCTTCCAAGCATTGATCTTGTTACTCCTTGTTTCTGAAAAGTCAGTGAGGTGTTAACCTCTGACTTACCCCTGAGTTCCCAGACTCAACATTTGTTGCAACTTGTCTGAACCACTTCACTACATCACACACCTGATTGCTGCGTTGTGGAATAGTCTAAGCTACGACCCTTTGGCTCTGTTTTCTAAGACAGTGTGTTGTCTTAGTAAATTCATCCCTTCCTTGGGTGGCTAGATTCTCACATCTGGTGCACCCACCATTACACATCCTAGCCACAAAATGGAGGCAACACAGTTCCGTACAAGACTGATGGAAGCGTATGTAGGCATAAGAATTGTGAGGGACCGCACCCAGAAAACCCTATGGCTGTGCCAGGACTCCTATATCGACAAGATCACAACTACGTACGGAGTAGCCTCTATTCGATCCACCCGAACGCCAATGGTTACAGACAACCTAACCCAATTTGACGGCCAGGCAGATAAGCAACAAATCCATCTTTACCAACAGAAAGTAGGATCAGCAAACTACGCAGCAGTCGTAACGAGACCTGATATAGCCCGTACGACACAGAAACTATCTGAATTTCTCATCAATCCAGGCCCAGACCACATGGCTGCAGTCGACAGACTTCTACTCTACCTTAAGGATACTAAGACCCTAGCTCTTCAGTTTGGACCTAATATTCAAGAGGCTCGCTTTCAATGCTCTAGTGACGCTTCGTACGCAGACTGCGAATCAACAAGAAAGAGCACAGAGGGTTATTTGTTTACCTTATTTGGAGGGGCAATAGACTGGCGCTGCTCAAAGCAGAAGACTGTGCCAACCTCTACAACAGAGGCAGAGCTTCTAGTTTTGTCCCACAGTGCGAAACAGCTCTATTGGTGGCAGCGTTTCTTCAACACAATCAAACTCGATCTAAACGAGCAATACTCACTTAATTGTGATAATTTGCAGACCATACGGATCTTACTTAAGGAGTCTCCAAAGCTAGTTACAAAGCTGAAGCATATTGACGTCCTAAGACAGGAGGTTGAGCAGCGTAACCTCGACATTAAGTGGATAGCTACGTACGAGATGCCAGCAGACGGCTTTACTAAGGCCCTACCCCATCAGAAGCACAAGGAGTTCATTAAACATTTGAACCTTGTAGACATAAAGCATCTCCTATAGGAGTGCATACATACAACACAACCCCGTACGAAGCACTGGCTACCTTTGTACTATGGAAAGCAGCCCCCTAGACCAAAGAGTCTAGTCTTCTACTTCACTAACTGAAAAGTGAGGCAAGACAAGAATAGCTAATGGATGAGTTCCGTACGGAGGTAGAACTCTCAAAAGCACCAAAGCCGCCTACAGTTACACCTAGTTTTACTATGCGTTCTTATTTCAACTTTCCCAATGGAATACCTTGGGAAATAATAAACATACACTCATTTGGAAGACTACACAACTCCGTACGACATAGATGCAATATATGCATGGAGATTTCACATTCATTTTTTTCGAAATTCCAAACCCATTTCAACAAAGGGGGGAAGGCAGACAAGAGCAGGAGAAATCCCTGACTTTTACTATACAAAAACAGGAGAATCACCCATTTTCCCACACTCACAACTACGTACGGACCTGTCACATTAAAATTGCAGAGAAATCCACTGTCATTTAGGCCTCATTCACAACCGAGAGCACCAGAACCCGAGAGCACCAGAACACCGAGAGAACAAGAACACCGAGAGCACCAGAACACTGAGATCACTTCTAGTGCTCTCAGTGTTCTCTAGTGCTCTCAGTGTTCTGGTGCTCTCGGTGTTCTGGTGCTCTCGGTGTTCTGGTGCTGAGATTACCCATGAAGCTGAGCAGCAGCTTCTTCATCAATAGCTTTCTGTCGGGCGAAGGCACGGGTGCCAGATCTTTTCCCAGCTTTGGGAGATGGCGGAGGTGGTGGCGTGGCAGGTCTCCAAGTTTTCTTGTGGCCTACTATGTGTTAGTGTCGTACGCAGCATAGGAATCAACAGAAAGGTACAAACTTACTCAAGGAACAAGCAGCTGACTTGTGCTTCATTGCACAGTTACCACAGGCTCCTTCCTGCAGCTCGCCATAGTGATGGCAGGCAGAGAAGAAGGGACGAGCCCGAGCACTGCCCCGATCGTGTACACACTGGTCACAGCCAGCATCCATGTCTCCTACAGCCTGGATGTACCAAGCCGTTGTCTGTTGTGGGTGGTCAGACTCCACCACACCAGCAACACCGTACGGACGGGCCAATTCCACGCCAACCACAATTGGGGGTAGGGATGGTATTTTGACCCTCTCATACTCCGGCAAGTCATCATGGAGGTCAGCCCTGATCTCAACCAGAGCCATGTCTTGAGGCTTGATTTCACCAATAAACAGTCATTGTGAGTCACGTACGGAGCTATGCGAGAGTGGAAAGTTGGTGCTTGGTAGTGGCGGGGGTGGGGGTAGAAAAAGGTTGTTGGCCCAGAACTCCAAATTCAGACCCATACGGATTTGCCTGCGAGCCTTCCTACTTAGTATGCGGTACTGGGATACATGGGGGGGTGTGTCACATGATCTCAGCACCACTTCCCCGCAATTTCAGGCAGCAATAGATAGACAGGAATACACACGCATATTTCTCAACAACCCCCCTGTCCACTACCAAAATACGTTCGATATCTCGATATTTACGCTATCTCGATGGTATTTACGGGACCCGAGCTATCGACTTAACGTATTATATTATGGATATCAACATTACGCGCTTGGGTAATGCTTGTACCTTTGTACCACTGTGGATTTACCCCGCAATTGTATTACATAAGCTTTCGCAGTCGCAACAAATGCGTGAGGCTCGCCGTCAGCCTCGGTTCTCCTGAATGACATGGTATAATATAGGACTTGTGGCTCAAAGTCGTGGAATTATATACGTCCTGGGCGCAAATCACCGATAAACAGGGTACGTCTGCTTCCCCGGACACTGGCCTCATAGCTGGAAGATCTCCAGTTGACGTCGTATCCCAGAGAAATCTGTAGCCAACGTCTTCGGGGGTAACCCAAACGTCGCAAGCATGCGTTCCCGCATCCTCCTCCTTATCGTCGTCTCCATCATCGGGCTACTCGTCCTTTTCTCAGCCCGCGATTCGAACCTCCCATCAGCCTCGCAAATATACCATAGCCCCACAGGCAAAACTTCCCCATCTTCGAAAAAGGTCGCGGCCTTGATGGAAACGCGGGTAACACCAAACCTCGTCCCACTCATCCTCCACTTCTCCTCCGTCCTCGGCCCAACATGGCCCATCAAGATCTTCACCACCCAAGCCGCCATGGTGAATATCTCTACCTCCGCAGCTTTCGAGCGCAAAATTGCCGATAAGAGCATATCCTTTGTCCTCCTCCCAGAGACCGAGACCTTCGAGGAGCACTCCTCCGTGTCGGCCTTCTTCTCGAAGCCATGGTTCTGGCAGCAGCTGGCGCCTGCAGAGCGCGTCCTGATGTTCCAGTCCGATTCCATTATCTGCGCCAACTCGCGCCGCACAGTGGACGACTTCCTGGAATATGATTTCATTGGGGCGCCGGTTCGAGAGGGACTTGGCGCGGGGTATAATGGCGGATTATCAATCCGCAACGTACCTCTGACCCTAGACATTGTGGGCAAGGAGTCATGGGCGGAGGACAGGAAGGAGAAGAATGGGAAGTACAAGGATGGCCCGAACGTGGATTACGAAGACCAGTGGTTCTATGCGAAGATGAAGGAGAGGAAGGCGTATTTCCCGACGCAGGAGGTGGCTAGCCAGTTTGCCGTGGAGACTATCTGGGCCGAGAAGCCGCTTGGATATCACCAGGCGAATGTGTGGCAGGCTGGGAGCATGGATAACATCCTTAAATGGTGCCCAGAGTACAAGATGTGCACGAGCGAGACATATACTAGCCATTGAGTGGCTATCTCATGGGAAGAGGCGTTAATGGTCATTCTTGGAAGGAATAGGTAGCTGTAAGATATTGTGCTTGTACACTCCAGGGCCGTCCCGAATAAACACTTTATAGGAAATATATCCCCATATAGTCGCGAACTCTGGGTCCAAGCAGACACAGGAATTTTCCAGAAATTGGCCATGGTAGGTTTATTGACAGTTACGAGTCAAAACATTTCTACCAAACCAAACTCATGGAATAAGTCTCCATTATCGAGAAATCAAGAGCCATTAATGAGCAGCGAGGAGTTGCAAGTTGAGTCACGATGATCTAATCACTGACATTAATATGCCTGCTGCTGAGTTATTGCTTGTTGGTGATTTGCTGTGAGTATTTGTGGAGAGCGCCGTGTTCAAATAATAGACTGTGCTTTCGGGTGTGAAGAGATTTTATTGATGCTAACCACTAAACCTAATATAATACAGGGCTATTAATAATATAATACAGGACCTTTGATATCCTCGCACCGATGTAGGGGGAGCGGTCTCGGTGATGCCGGTGATGCCGGTGATGCCGGTGCCCAGCACCGAGTTCTCATTCCAACACGCCGCACTCCATCAGTAACATGAAAACATGCACTTCGGCTGGACTTTCTAAATTTAGTATAGCGTGTGGGCAACCTACAGTACCTCGCCATAAAGATTTAGCTTCGATAGGGAGCAGCCGTTAGTGCGGGGCAAGAGGGTGGAACGTAGGGGATGAAGAGTCACAAAGGATCATGAAGGATCAATCACGCAGATGAGTCGAGGTTTCGCCTACAGGATTACTGTGTGATAATTTACCTTATATACTCCTCGTCCCCAAATCTCAACTCATTCCGTCTGTGCGTCTTAACTATCCAACCAAAGCAATAGTCACTGCCCCTAACCTACATGCTCCAGTTGCCATCCCGCACTCAAATGGCGCCGAAGCACAACCTCCAATACCCCAAGGGGGCTCAAAATACCTTGAACAGGTATAGTGATCGAGGTCAGCCATTCCCATTCTTGGCCCATCTCCGTGTCCCTGAACATCATGCTGAACGAGGATAGGAAGCTACGACCTCGAAAAGGTCCATAAAATCGTCAACAGCACTCCTGTTCTCCATGTCTCCTTCCAGCCTGATCCCTCCGACCCCTTTCCGGCTATCCTTCCTATGATCGGCCAGATGGGGTCGTTTGAGCGACCATCCTCTTCGATCTCCGACCCTCTCAATTGCTATCTTCATGGCTATATCTCCTCACGCATCATGAACGTCTCACGCGCTGCCATCGCCTCTGGCAAGCCCGGCCTCCCCGTCTGCATCGCTGCTTCAAAGGTCGACGGGCTCGTCCTCTCCCTCACACCCAACAGCCACTCATACAACTACCGCTCGGCTGTGCTCTTTGGGTACGCGGCTCCAGTCACTGATACCGAAGAAAAGGAATGGGCCATGGAGATGATTACGAACAGTGTCGTTCCTCAGCGTTATGAGAATACACGAATCCCACCCATTCCGGCTGAGATGCAAAGCACACAGATTCTACGCGTGACGATTGATTCGGCTAGCAGCAAGGTCAGGGACTGGATTCCATCGGACTCTGCTGAGGATAAGGCCAACAAGGAGGTCGTGGATAAAGTCTGGGTCGGTGTTGTTCCAGTGTATGAAACCTATGGAGAGCCGATTCCCAGCCCGCTCAATAAAGTTGAGAAAGTTCCCAAGTATATAGAGGAGTTCCTGAAGGAATCTAATGAAGAGGGTTTGGCGTATGCCACAACAGCAGGGGAAAAGCCTCTCCCAGTAAAAGCTAAAACTAATCACGACGAGTGAGCTGCTGGTAGTCTTCAATGGCGGTTATTTGAAGTAGAAACTGAGGGGTAGTAATATAATTTCGTGCAACCAAATATATCGTACTCAACGATCCATGCTTGATAAAAACAAGATTCCTCATGATAAATAAGACGCTATACTAACCTTTGAACTACCGTGACTCTATTAATTCTATTCCAATTCCCTTGGCATATTTGAGGTTCATGAGCGCCCCATAACACGTGACTGATACGTGAATCGCTGGGTAAACCTCGCGACTCCATTTTTGAAACTTCTACCATGCACATATTATAAACAAAACATACAGATTAGCACCGCTGCCACGATGACTAAATTACTGCCAGGTCAGGTTAAAAGGGTGGCTATTATCGGGGCTGGCCCTTCTGGTCTCGCTGCTGCCAAGTCAATCTCTCGTCCCCTCAAATGTAGCCGTACTAACTCGGCATAGATATCTCACAGCTGAGAAATCGATCTCCCAAGTCACCATTTACGAGCAACGGGCAACCCCTGGCGGCGTTTGGAATGCTACCCCATCCCTCACTTCGCCGTCCTATTCCATACCGCAGATCACTCCTGACACCACTCCGGCGGTGCCGTTGAAAGGAGACGCAAAGGATGGCCGGGAAGGATCCTGGGATTTTCAAAGTGCTGTATATGATTATCTCGAAGCAAATATCCCAAAACCGCTTATGAATTATACGGACCTCAAATTTCAAGATGAGACGCCACTCTTTCCTGCACATGGGACCGTGAATAAGTATTTAGACGCGTATGCGGATGACATACGCGGCCAGATTCGATTTGGGACTCAGGTCCTTGATGTCCAACGCCATCGTCATAAGGCAGAAGGAGGCGAGAAAGTGACTACGTGGCATGTGAAGAGCAAAGTTATCGGCACAGACGAGGAAGAGACCGCTACCTACGACTCGGTTGTGGTGGCAAACGGACATTACGATTGTGCTTTCATTCCTAATATCAAGGGTGTAGAAGACTGGCACCGCTCTTACCCTGGCTCACTTATTCATTCGAAAAACTATAAACGGCCTGAGAACTACGAGGGGAAGAAAGTCGTCGTCGTTGGTGCGGGAGTCTCGGGCATCGATATCGCAAACCAAATAGCACCGCATGCAAAATACCCCCTGTTACTCTCTAGACGCGCGGCGAAAGGATCTTCCTCACCTCTAGCACCCGAGAAGACGTCTATCGAAGATGTATCAGAGATCGAAGAGTTCATTGTCGATAATCGCACTATTAGCTTTATAGACGGCAGGATAGAGACCAGTGTCGACAAAGTGATATTCTGCACCGGGTATCTATACTCATACCCCTTTCTTCAAAACCTGGAGCCGACGGTTGTTACGACGGGCTATCGGACGGAGAATCTATATTTGCATATATTCTACCACCCGGAACCCACGCTCTCATTCCTATGCCTGCCGATACGTATCGTTCCATTCATTATTGCCGAGGTGCAAAGTGCACTTGTAGCACACTTTTTGGCTGGACGGCTTGCACTTCCTTCTCTATCTGAACGGACAGATTGGGAGGACAGAGTCATTCAGGGGAAGGGTTTGGGGAAGGCATTTCACTTCATGGGATTTCCGGAGGATTCTCACTATATTGATGGGTTGGTTAGCATGAGAGAAAAGGCGGATGGAGAAGATGAGGGATTAGGGAAGAAGGCGCAGAGATGGGACAGGAAGTCTCTTTGGATTCGAGAAAACTCCGGGAAGATAGTGGCAGCTGTTAGAGGGTTAGATCCTGACGCTAGGGAGAAGATTAAAACCTTGGAAGACGCGGGTTTCCGTTATGAGGGAGATACTAAGTAGGGATGACCCACAGTGTTCGGCGGATCGTATCCGGATCAGTGTTGCCCGAATACCGCTCTGAGTACTACTCGAGCATCCTCGTACTCGAGCATTCTCGAGTAGAGTACTCAAAATTGAAGCTCGAGTACCGGTATTCGAATACCGGTACTCGAATACCGTGAGTAGTACTCGCATATAAAATAGAAATTGACTGTATTTACTATTCTAACTCTCATTCTGCATCGTCGCCGCTGTCCTCGTCGTCGCCTTGTGATATAATACCCCAATTCTGTAAGCAAAGTAGATATCTAAGTGTAGACGGTGATAATCTGTTCCGTTTCTTTGTGATAATATCACCGCCAACACTAAATACTCGTTCCGAGTCCGCTGAGGTAGCTGGAATAGCTAGGTGGTCCTTTGCTATAGAAGCAATCAACGGATATTGGAATTGCTTACTCTGCCAATATTTGAGAATATCTGTGTTCCTACCAACCGTCGGCTCCTTCATCCATCGCTTCCATTCTGGCTCAGTATCGTGATGGCTTTGCGATACGTATAGCTCGTCTTCTGAGTCTATATCGATACTCATAGCTTGCTGCTCTGGATCTAGATCCTCATCTTCGATACTATTAATAACGTTTGCTGCTCAAATATCAGACTCGCGGCCTAAATATCGGTAGAAGCAGTCCTGCCACTGTGCCTTTGCCCTGTTCTTTTTGATCGATTGTGTACTGTCTTTCCATATGATATTGAAAACGTTGAAATTATATCGAGGATCACAAATTGTAGCAATCGTAGAGTGACTCTGTTGCTGATTCGTAGCTAGAGTATAGTAATCATTAAGCTTCTTTAATGCAATCGAAGTAGCATTAGCAATTGGGCTTCGTTCTGGTAGCTCACTTTTTAAGCTTCTTGATCATTCTCATATATGTTACGATGGTCACGGAGGTCAAGAAGCCAGTCCGGAGAATAATAAGCTAGATTGAAGAAGAAGGAAGGAAGGTGAGGCTATTCCTCGTAATATACAGTTGTCCGCTTAGCGGTTGTAGCCTTGGTGGCTAAGGCTGCACCCGTAACAACCGTAACAACCGTAAGCTATAATCGTAACAATATACTGCGGAACAGCATAGTTAAGAGTTGGATAAGAAGAGCCCTGTAGCTTCTCAGTTGGGTGGATAAAGATATAGAATAGCTTTAATAAGTCATGTAACGTAGCCCAATCTATTGCTGTTAAAGCGATATCCCTCATACTAATATCAAGTTGCTGTGATGCACATAAAGCTCTAATCGGAACCTGAAGATTTAAAGCCATATTGATCATTTGATAAGTTGAGCTCCAGCAGACTGGCATATCAAGTATCAACTGATGGACTTTAATACCTGCAGCTTTACACTGATTCTTCAAGGCATCTTTCCATCCACGGCAGTTCTGAAATACATATATATGACGCCGGAGCTTGGCAAGAACAGTCACGATTTCATTTTCAATAGTAGTTGGTATTCGCGCAGCCCCAACCTCAAGCCGGTATGCCTCTACCCTTTTGTCAGGCGTTGCCTTTAAGGAAGCTAAAGTAGCTTGAACAGCAATGTTGATAATATTCCCAATACAGCGTACATCTCCTGCTTTCACTGTAAAAGCCCATGGTTGTTTTGGGGTAATAGGTTGCTCTGATGCCGGTTTCTCATATTCTAATAGCATAGTTGTATTCGTAGATGCATTATCTCTTGTAACTGTAAAGATCGCAGGCGTAATACTATAATCGTCCGTTACATGTATCATCTGTTCGGCAAGGTATTCGCCAGAGTGGATTGGCTCCTGAAGGTGTATAACGTCAAGTATAGTATTTCTCATTTGCCAATTATCATTATCCAGTGTACTGTAACTGCTGCATAAAGTATCTGTCGTTATTGCAAGTCGTCCACCGCTTATAATATGTTGTTGTAATTCTACTTGAAGCTGTGCTTTATGATAGCAGAATAGATGATATAGATCCCGTCCGATCGTAGTTCTACTAACTGTCAAAACCATAGGGTTTAGATGATGAACTAATTGCCAGAATGAGTGGCTTTCCACAAGGCGTAGCGGTAGGATATTTGATACCACAAAAGAGAGTACAAGCTCTCTATATTTCGACGAGCTTGGTGCATTACTGGGTGCTTGGCGGGGCTGGAAAAAAGCAGAAGCAGAAGCAGAAGCAGACGGCATTAACGAGCTTCTAATTGAGGAGGATAGCTTCTCATATTCTGCATGCACAGATGGGTGCATCTTCTTAAGATGCTTCCAAAGATTACTCATCGTCTGGCTCTTTAGTAGCTGGCTGGGCATATAGCTACAATCGGTTTAAAGGCATTGGTATTGGATTCTAGCAGGTATTGTATCTAATAAAGTACGGTAAAATAGCCCTTTCGAAAAGAGGATTGATGTAGAATCAGGTAATTGAACTCTTAGAGGCATATGCGGCATCAGAATAAGGAGCGGCAGATCTAAAGCATCAGACTGATACTCAGCCGGCACTGGCGACAGAGAAGAGCCACTCATTTTCACAGTCAGGAAGTAATACGGAATGCTCAAGTGGAAGAAAGCTTCAATTATCTATTCTATTCTACACCCAGTTACCCCTCATTGCCAAGGGCTTGGCAGTATTCAGAGTATTCAGATGTCATACTGACATTCGTTGCACTCAGTTTGCTATCAAACTCAAGAGCAAACTTGGAAATCTCCTCCTCAAACCTACAAGTCACTATACATATTTTGGCTTGTCACACCAACAACAAGAGCAATACTACTCAACGATTGCTACAACCCTCTATGATTCATTACACGTCATTGCTCCTTAGTTACTGGGCCGATATGACCACATAGCATATCTCTACAACCCTCTATGATTCATTACATGACATCACTCCTTAGTTACTGGGCTAATACTACACATGACATATCTCTATCAACTAGAGGCCTAGGAACATGAACGATAGCTCCAAAAGCTTCTACAACTGTCTATGATTCATTACAGGTCATCGTTCCTTAGTTACCCACAAGATTGGTTAAGTTATGACATAATTTGTCAATAGGGGTACTCTGACCTTGGACCTCCTTTCACTTCCTATAGGCTAGGAACCTAGGAGATGGTTCTATGGGATTCTCTTACGTCGACTACAGTTACCAAGCCTGGTTAGTCATGGAAAGTCTTGGAAAATGAGAGAACTACACTCCTTTAGCATAAATAGGATTGCCCTTTCCTTAAAGAAAGGGCAAGTGTTACGACGGAACAAGAAGGCTGGCCAACTACAGGACAGGAAGGAGGGAGGTCGCATGAGACCGGCCCTGGTACCTGGAGGGGCAGCGGGGAATAGTAGTTCCGAAAGTATCACGTGACGGACTCGCAGGATGATGAGAAGAGTCCTAAGAGTCCAGGACTCCGAGGACTCGAGTGAGTTCCCAGGAGTCCACTAGGCACGTGATGGACTCGCAGGATGATGAGAAGAGTCCTAAGAGTCCAGGACTCCGAGGACTCGAGTGAGTTCCCAAGAGTCCACTAGGCACGACGCCACTATATAAGTAGATAGTATTTCCTTAGATAGGAGCTTCGTGCTCAACTCAATACAGTATTTGTTATATACTAGTAACGTGTTACTTGAAGCCTTTGTGTCTGATCCCCTGCCTCCTCTGATAAGTAAACCTTTACGCAAGAGAACCTCTGTGTCTTCTATCGTTTAGAAGTCAGCGTTACACTTTGAGCACCACTTCTACGAGGCACTGGCTCATACACAAAGCAACATGTCTGTCGTCAGTTCGAAGGGGAAAACCCCCACCACGCCAACTTCGTCTCAGAGGTCTAAGCCTGAGAATGAAGAGATGCCCGACGCACCCACTGTCAACGAACTCAAGGAAACTCTACGCGTCAAGTTGCCCGACACTTACTCCGGCAACCGAAAGGAACTTGAGGTGTTTTTGCTACAGGTCGAACTGTACCAGCACTTCAATGACGAGAAGTTTCCCACCCAGGAGAGCTATGCCCTGTGGACTGCGTCCTACCTTAGGGGGGAAGCCCTGCGATGGATCGAACCATTCCTCAAGGATTATTTCAAATATGAGAGTACCAATGGAAGCATGGCAACTACGCAGACTATGTTTGGCAGCTGGAAAGGATTCTGTAAGGAAATCCGACGCATGTTCGGAGACATCGATGAGATTAAGACCGCGGAAGACCATCTGTTTGCACTTAAGCAGACTGGCAGCGCCCTCACGTACTCCACAGAATTCCAGAGATACGGCAATCAGACAGGATGGGACGCCAGCGCACTCATCAGCCACTACCGACGTGGGCTGAAGAGCCATATACGTATGGAACTTGCCCGTTTGGAACAACAACCAATGGACATGGTAGCGCTAATCGAACATATGGTCCGAATCGACAATCGACTATACGAATTCCAGAAGGAACGTCGGACCTATGACAAGCCCAAGAAAAGTTACCCCTACCGGGGAAACGAGGGCAGACGACGGGATCAACACCCGCGAGACAACCGTTGGTCGGACCCAATGGAACTCGATGCCACGTTCAAACCTGGATGACCCCGTGACCCTAAGAAAGACAGACAATTCAAGGAACGACTCTGTTTTAACTGCGACAAGCCAGGCCACATGGCCCGAGACTGCAGACAGCCAAAGAAAGGGAACGGCGGACGCAAAGTCGGCAAACAACTCAATGCGACCTGGACAGGACAGTTGAACGCAACGTTTGTGAGCAAACAGGACTGGGGAATAAACGGCGAAAGCACCCCAGAAGACGAGAGCTCAGATGAAGGGTCGGAGGCGGAATCGTTAACCGTCTCGGAACAGGAGACCTTCGACGAACTCGCACCTACGGAACCAATGAGTCCACGGTGCAAGAGCGTAGTAAGACGCATGGCAAAACACGCCCACGCGAAGATTAGGGCCGAACGAGACAAGCCCAGCGGCCAGAGGAGAATCCCCACGCTTAAGGGCATCTACGGGAACCTGTTACAGGGACTTCCGT